CTGCTGTCTGGCACTACTCCGGCGAGATCTGGGGGGCAGCGCTCTCGCGGACGCGCGCGCAGTCTGGGCGGCGGCATCCACCGCGCGGCGCCCCTGCCCGGCGTCCCCCACCCCGCGCCGCTCCGCTGCGACGGTGCCACCGGTCGGAATCTTCTGGTGGCAACGCCCGGCGACAGGCGCACGACGTGCAGCACGAGGAGACCCTGCAGCAAGCCATGCTCGCCCAGATGGGCAGAGATCGAGCAGGAGTGGATTCCGTGGTGCACGACGACGCCGACGGCTTCTCTTCGCCACCGAGCTCTGCTCCCCTCCCTCTGCGTCAGAATCAAGGTGCCCACGGATCTTCTTACCTTGTCACTGTCGGCTCCCCCCTCTCCCTCCACGTTCTGCATTGGTAGCTGTGTTGGATGTACACAGTTTGAAGGCTTGCTAGATGAGTAGTAATATGTATACGGTTAGGATTAAGTTGTTTATTTTGTGAGATGAGGATACAACTTTTTCTCGGGGTTGTTTGGATTCAGAATTTTAGCCAATTATGTTTCCATAAACTCGTTTGAAGGTCTAACAACCTGAAATTAGTTAGCGTAAAAAAGTATAGTTTTTTTAGGGGCAGAACAAGTAAAACTTTTTTTTTGAATATTCTCAAGATTTGAAGACAATTAGACACACTGAACTGGTTCCTAGTTCCTACATCAGGACTACTACCAAATGACGAACTAAAATGCCATGGTAGCATCAGCCTTATTATTCTTACTCTGGGATTTTTCACCAGTGCATGCAACTACACCAGACCCTGGCAACTGCAGCATTCGCACTTGACCAAAGAAGCTCTGCTTTTTTCACACGGAGAACAAACCATATGGCTCGCCCCAACCATGGTGCAAGTTCATCTGAACATGATCATGCCGCTCGCAAAGTGGAATACAAGCGCACGACGACGTTTACTCCAATGGTCACTGCAAAGATGATGGCGAGAATGGCCATTGAAACAGCTCTACGATCCATGGTCACCACGGCTACACCCTTTGCTGCTGCCTTCTTGCTGCCGCCATCTTGTCCAAGCTTCATCCCTGTCTCATTCCACCCCGTGTTTGCTGGTCTCTTCTTCTCTGCTGGTTTAAACAGAGCTGGCAGTGAAGGACATGCAGGTGAGTTGATGGACGCGACCTGCTCCTGTGCCGGCGGTTTCTGCTTCGACACATTCTCCACTGTTGTTGTTTCGGTCATGGTATCCACTTTCAGTTGCTCTGAGATCTGTGACTGATGCGTTGTCATCTGTGTTGATGAGGTCTGTTGATCACCGCCATGGCCGTGCCCGATATGTTCTTCATGGGTGATCTCCGGGCTATTGATGGGAAGAGAGCTTTCATCGGAATTCTTCACACCTTCGGTGGCATTTGGTGTGACCTCATTCTCGACGCAGCTCTTCACTGAATTTTGGTCAGGATTCTTCACATCTTCACTGTCGGATCATTAATGATCTCGGCACTTTCCTGGCTTGAGTTTGGATCCAAATTATATGTAGGTTTGCTATCCAATTCATCAGCAACAATTTCATCCACCTGCTCCTGAATCTCTTGAAGCTCCTCTGCTTCCTTACCATCCAACCCATCAGCTTCAACCTCTCTAACCTCCCTGCCCAGATTCTCATCAGATTGATCAGACTTCTGCTGCTCCTTCTCCACGACCCCGCCATCCAGAACGCCGTCCTCCTTGCCGCGGAGGTCCTTCTTGGCGCCCTTACTGTCGCCGTGGCGCCGCCACGCGACGACGGCGGCGCCGACGATCGCGCCCCCGACGAGGAGCAGCGCCCCGACGCCCTGCGGCGTGCCGACGCGTGCGCACACGCGGGTCCTCATGGCGCCGTCGTGCCTCGCCACCTCCTCTCGCGATTCTTGCTCGGTGCAAAGATCAGAACAAGTAAAACTTGGTTTTAGTACAACAGGAAAAGTGGGTTTTAGTAGTTTTTCTATAAACCACTTTAGTCCTTCCTATTCAGAAAGGCATGGCTTGAAACTTGCAAAAAAGAAAAAAAAATGTGGTCAAAGAGGCTAAGCTTCCTTTTCCTGGAGAGTCGACATGCCAATCCTGATCAAATTTCGAATTGTACCCCCGCGTACACACACAATGCATTACAACAAAGCAAAACTGAACGAGAGAATCATACAGATTTATGAAAGGTAACCTGACATAAAAGTCATCACTCTCTAATGATGACAATCATACTGATGTACCAATTGTAAAAAAAAAAGTGCAAAGCTGGGTCTGCATGTTTTCGCAAATGAGCTCAGAGTAATGCGCTATAGTGGTATTGGCCAAAGCTTCCATTACGAGGTCCTTGCCATTTCGTAGGTTAGCGGTGCTTGTATTCAGAGTCTAATATAACTCTTTCAGCAGTGAGCACAATGCTCTTGCTGAATATCTTAAGGGTTGATCTTTCTAATCCTGTACATGGCACTTTGGAATCACCGTCTGCAATGAATCTTGAGGCCTCAGATTGAAGTTTAAGAACGTGTTAGAAATTAAGGACACCTGTGTGCTAAATACTTCAATAATAGAGATAGTAGAGATGTTGAGGGGCTCACTGATGGCAAACTCAGCTTGAATTTGGGTTTTTCATAAAATATCAGAAACATAGTTTCAAATCCATGAATTTCTAACGAGAGATTCTATGCAACTGAAGTTTAAGCCAGTTTTTTTATTGCTATATGATATTACATGCCTCAGGTATTTACCATATTAAAAAGCATATGCCTTAGAAAGAAATATGATACCTTAGTGTTTTTGTTCTTCTTTAGCAAGTCACTGTCCAAGCTTCTTCCTCCTGCATCTGTTTGGAATTTCACGCTATCTCTTGTTATTTCCAGCTTAAACAGGTGCATCTTCGAGCAAGTATAGTACGGGCAGATGTCGCTAAAGGATTAATCATGGTTTCTGAAAACTGACTATGCTCCCTTGAGTACTACGCAGTAACAAACTCAGGTTAGTGTGCATTAAGATCTAATATAGTTATGTGGTTATAATGCATAATTGAACATACTATACCTTGAGTTGCTATAATTTGATCCAGCAAATTCATGTGCTAAGGACTTCCTTGTAGACTATGTTCTTCATGGTCATTAAAAAGGGCACAGATCCTTTTTGCTTATTTGAATTCTTGATTTGTTCCTTGCCCTTGCCCTTGCCCTTACCCTTACCCTTGCCATTGTCCTTGATGGCGAGAATCTTAATATTCCTCTTTGCGGTGGCTCTAGACAATCCGACGTAGAGCTGACCGTGAGAGAATATCGGGTCCGGTAGGTACACCCCAACAAGCGGGATGGTCTGCCCTTGCGCCTTGTTGATTGTCATGGCAAAACTGAGCCTAATAGGGAATTGCTTCCTCTTGAACTTGAAAGGGAATATATCATCATCGGATGGGCAGAGAGGTATCCGAGGAAGGAACACCCTCCTACCAGCTTGTTGTCCTAGCACGATTTCTGCGTCGATGGCGTTCCTCTGGAAACCCCGGACCACAAGCCTTGTGCCGTTACACAACCCATTAGCTGGATCAATGTTTCTCAACAGTATAACGGGGCAATTTATCTTCAGTTTGAGCACATGCGGAGGCAGCCTGTTCGGAGTCAGGTTGTTCAGGAACTCGGGGGCATAATAGTCGTGTGGATCATCCTCTGCAATATCAAAACTGTGGTAGATCTTCTCTTCGCCCTGGAAGCGCTCTATCATGCGCGTGTTTATCTTATCAACGTTGTCGTTCTTGGTGGAAAGGATCGCTCGAGATGTCATGTAATTTGGATCAACCATGTTGTCGTCTAGAGCAGGAAATACATGGTCGGTTAGCTTCTCTAGGTCAGCGCCGTCTCCTGTTGGCGGCACACAAATATCTTCGGGGAGCCTTATGTTGCCTTCCTCATCAGTTTCCTCGGTCCCATTACCTACCTGTAGCAAGTAATCTGCGAACCACGGGTCGTTATGCGCCCTCATGTTGGTGACGAGCCTTAGCTGGCACATGTCGTTCCAAAGGTACGAACTCCGCAGGGTAGCATCGATTATCTGACCCCGTGACCCCTTCCTGACGACCGGAAGCACCTGATTGAAGTCCCCACCGAACACGACTGTCTTTCCCCCGAATGGTCGGTCCCGTCGGCCCATGATGTCCCGCATGCTATTGTCTAGTTCCTCAATCGCTTGCCACTTCGTCATGGTGTCCTCGTCCCATAGGATGAGTGAAGCCATGTGCAAGAGCTTGGCCGTCCCACTTTGCTTCGTGAAGCTGCACGACCCCCCATCTTCAATGCTGAGTGGGATCTTGAACCTCGAGTGGGCTGTCCTTCCTCCAGGCATGATGGAAGCCGCGACGCCTGACGTCGCTGTAGCTAGCGCGATCTTGCCCTCGCCTCGAACCTTTGCGAGAAGTGGCCTGTATAGGAAGGTCTTCCCGGTGCCTCCCGGGCCATCGACAAAGAATACACCACCATCACCAACATCAACTGCTGCCAGTATCTCGTCATATGCAAGCCTCTACTCAGGGTTTAGCGAGGACACCAAATCAGCGCCGTTCGCGTCAACCTCGATGGCGGACTCCTCGGTGACTTCTCTGGCCTCACCTCCAGTAGTGTCATAGGTCTCGTCGATGTCCGAAAGAGGGAACAACGCTATGTCTTTGCCCATGGACTGTAGCATGCCCCTGATGTCAAGCAACACCATCTACTCCACTACCTTTGAGCACGCATGTGTTCGACGGTAGTCATCAGACATCGCGTCTAGGTGCCTATCCCATAGGCCGCGCACGTCACCTGGCTCGCAGAATACCAAGATAGTTGCAAAGAGCCTCCTAAGTGAGGCTGGCATCGCGAACTATGTTGACTCTATAAGACACTCGTCAAGCGTGTTGTCGGCCTCAATGAGGCCCAATCTCTCGGCAGCCTCACGGAAGCTATCACATAGCACTCCGTCCACGGTCCGCAGGTCCTCGAAGGATGTCTTGCTTGGTACGTGGTTAAGCAGCACTCGCAGAAAGTACCGCTCCCCCTCGGCTGGATGGGCTGACACGGTTTGACCTCCTTGGTGCTGCTTTTCTCTCGGCCTCCAGTATTTCTATCTCTGCCATGTGAAACTTCCCGGAAAGTCCTTGTACAGGATATCCCGAGCCCACACGTGCTGCTGATTAGCGAGGAAATACTCTGTTAGCATTGACTTAGATGCAGTATCACGGGCGACGACATCGGCCAGGTCCTCTCCTGTTTTGAACATGACACTATTCATATTAGGGAGATGAAGCGGCAACTGTAGGACCGACGGGAAACTCTCAGAAAGGTTGAAGCCGAATATCCTCCACATCGCCTGAGTAACCCATCTCGCATCAATGTACCTTTTAATCTCGTCTACAACCCCATTGCTGTCAGGCTGGTCAATGTTGAATGAAGCTCGATCGTGACCCTTGTATACGTATTTGTAAAGGTACTTGACGGCCTTGATGCTGGAGCACACCTCGACATTTATGTGGCAGTTGAACATCCGCAACAGATAAGGGTTGTAAGGCATGACCCATCTGTTATCCAGCATTTGACGATGGACCTTAGCCTGACGACCATCATCTCGCCGTCGATAAACCGGGTATGAATCCTTCCCCTGTAAGGTGTTCTGGTTGAACGGTCGTGGGTACTTGCTCTTGCACTTCAAGTCTTGCATGCACACATTTTTGGGATTAAGGTTGCCACATGGGCCGTGCATCATATGCTTCACAACCATGGCATAGAGCTCTGGATACTTATGCCTGCCCGGGAGCAATCTGTGGCATGTATACTATACTTCTCGTTGTTGTCCTCATAGTGTAATGTTGCGGTTGAACCTGTTTGCTAGATCGCTTCCCTCGACCCAAATTGCAGCCACCTCGGATGACACGGGTCTATTGTATCTTCGTTGGTCTAGCTTCTGGTCAATGTTGAGGTCTATCCGGTACTCCTCGAGGTTTTCCTTGTGGGCACCCAAACTCCTAAACTGTTGGGAGTAGGGGTTTTCCTCGGGACGTCCAGTAACTTGCTGACAACGTGCTGGTCCAATTGCTTGGTGGCCTCCTTGCGATGGCTTAAGCTGGGATCGTCATCGTAGAAGTACAAATGCAGATGTTCAGGGCGAGATCTTGGACCGAACGAGTGCACCTTGTGGTACATAGTGCCATGTGCCCGAAACGTGTACACCCCGGACTTCATGTTTGTGTAGTTGTTGTCTAGGCTGACGCCAAGGGTAGTGAAGGCAAAGTTCCCGTTGAAGAACCGAATGCTCTCTCGGAAATGTCGAGAGTCTGCATCCGCGCTTGACCATAACCTCATCAGCTCTGGGATAGGCTCGGGTTCAGCTAGCTCAATCTCCCCGTTCCTACAGCTGAAGTCGGCGGTCTCATATTGGAACTTCTTGGCCTTGCAATGCTCGTAGTTTGCCGCGTGCTTCAGGATGTGTGTGCTATTTGGGATGTTCGAGTAGACATAGTCGAAAGGATCTAGGTCGATAGATCCCATGTTGGAGGATTCTACGGGCTCATCGAGGTCCGTGCTATCAGTGTCGGATGCTGCAAGCATTGTGGGGATATAACAAGTCACGATGGGATGCACATCATAAACCAATAATATAGAGGGATGACCAGCGAAAGGCGCCTCGGAGTACCTTCACCGGCAAATAGGTAGTACTCATCATCCATGAGGTCACCAGAGAGGGCATTCTCGTCCATGATGCCGCTAAGGTAGGCCTCCATGTCAGCTGTAGCATTGTTGAGCCGGTAAGTAATGGTTTTTATTGTGAGTGCACACCAGGAGGGGAGTAAACATGAGAGGGTTACCATTGGTTCCGATGGTGTACGATGGCATGCTTGATGAAGGGGAGGAAGCTGGTGAAGCAACTCCTGTGGGCGGTGCTTTTGAGCTTGTTGCTGCTCTGTTCACATCTAAGGTACTTGCATCTGGGCCTGGAGGCCTCCGCTTTTTTTGAAAGCTTGCATTACGACGATCTAGCAACGCTGACTTCTCACCTTCTGGTATGCTTTTCCCGCGCGCTCTTTGTTTTAAGGCACTCCCTTGAATGTTCTTTGCTCTAATACTTTGTTTGTGAGCTCGCTCCCGAGCCCTACATTGTGCTCTGCTCTCCTGCCTCTACTCACGGGCTTGATTCTGCTGGTCGTCTATTTGGTGACCATTGGTTTGCTGCGAGGGATTTATGAGTTCACTAGGGGCATCATTATCATCCAAGGTACGACTAAGGTACTCGCCTGCACCGTTGTGGAGACGTTAAATACTGGTTCAATGCACTGAAGGAAATATGCCCTAGAGGCAATAATAAAGTTATTATTTATTTCCTTATTTCATGATAAATGTTTATTATTCATGCTAGAATTGTATTAACCGGAAACATAATACATGTGTGAATACATAGACAAACATAGTGTCACTAGTATGCCTCTACTTGACTAGCTTGTTGATCAAAGATGGTTATGTTTCCTAACCATAGACATGTGTTGTCATTTGATTAATGGGATCACATCATTAGGAGAATGATGTGATTGACATGACCCATTCCGTTAGCCTAGCACTTGATCGTTTAGTATGTTGCTATTGCTTTCTTCATGACTTATACATGTTCCTGTAACTATGAGATTATGCAACTCCCGTTTACCGGAGGAACACTTTGGGTGCTACCAAACGTCACAACATAACTGGGTGATTATAAAGGAGTACTATAGGTGTCTCCAAAGGTACATGTTGGGTTGGCGTATTTCGAGATTCGGTTTTGTCACTCCGATTGTCGGAGAGGTATCTCTGGGCCCTCTCGGTAATGCACATCACTTAAGCCTTACAAGCATTGTAACTAATGAGTTAGTTGCGGGATGATGTATTACGGAACGAGTAAAGAGACTTGCCGGTAACGAGATTGAACTAGGTATTGAGATACCGACGAACGAATCTCGGGCAAGTAACATACCGATGACAAAGGGAACAAAGTATGTTGTTATGCGGTTTGACCGATAAAGATCTTCGTAGAATATGTAGGAGCCAATATGGGCATCCAGGTTCCGCTATTGGTTATTGACCAAGAATAGTTCTAGGTCATGTCTACATAGTTCTCGAACCCGTAGGGTCCGCACGCTTAAGGTTTCGATGACAGTTATATTATGAGTTTATGAGTTTTGATGTACCGAAGGAGTTCGGAGTCCTGGATGAGATCGGGGACATGACGAGGAGTCTCGAAATGGTCGAGACATAAAGATCGATATATTGGACGACTATATTCGGAGTTTGGAAAGGTTCCGAGTGATTCGGGTATTTTTCGGAGTACCGGAGAGTTACGGGAATTCGCTGGGGAGTATATGGGCCTTATTGGGCTTTAGGGGAAAGAGAGAGGAGAGGTTGGGCGCCCCCCAAGGCCTAGTCCGAATTGGACTAGGGGGAGGGGCTGCGCCCCCTCCTTCCTTCTCTTCTCTTCCCCCTTTCCTTGACTCCTACTCCTACTACTTGGAAGGGGGGGGGGGGGAATCCTACTCCCGGTGGGAGTAGGACTCCTCCTTGGTGCGCCTCCTCCTAGGCCGGCCACCCCCTCCCTTGCTCCTTTATATACGGGGGCAGGGGGCACCCCATGACACACAAGTTGATCTTCAAGATCGTTCCTTAGCCATGTGCGGTGCCCCCCTCCACCATATTCCACCTCGGTCATATCGTCGTGGAGTTTAGGCGAAGTCCTACACCGGTAGAGCATCATCATTGTCACCATGCCGTCGTGCTGACGGAACTCATCCCCGACACTTTGCTGGATCGGAGTCCGGGGATTGTCATCGAGCTGAACGTGTGCTGAACTCGGAGATGCCGTACGTTCGGTACTTGGATCGGTTGGATCGTGAAGACGTACGACTACATCAACCGCGTTGTCATAACGCTTCCGCTTACAGTCTACGAGGGTACGTGGACAACACTCTCCCCTCTCGTTGCTATGCCATCACCATGATCTTGTGTGTGCGTAGGAATTTTTTTTGAAATTACTACGTTCCCCAACAGTGGCATCCGAGCCTAGGTTTTATGCGTTGATGTTATATGCACAAGTAGAACACAAGTGAGTTGTGGGCGATACAACTCATACTGCTTACCAGCATGTCATACTTTGCTTCAGCGGTATTGTTGGATGAAGCGGCCCGGAGCGACATTACGCGTACGCTTACGCGAGACTAGTTTTACCGCCGTGCTTTGCACACAGGTGACTAGCGGGTGTCTGTTTCTCCAACTTTAGTTGAACCGAGTGTGGCTACGCCCGGTCCTTGCGAAGGTTAAAACAGCACCAACTTGACGAACTATCATTGTGGTTTTGATGCGTAGGTAAGAACGGTTCTTGCTCCGCCCGTAGCAGCCACGTAAAACTTGCAACAACAAAGTAGATGACGTCTAACTTGTTTTTGCAGGGCATGTTGTGATGTGATATGGTCAAGACGTGATGAGATATAAGTTGTTGTATGAGATGATCATGTTTTGTTGAAGTTATCGGCAACTGGTAGAAGCCATATGGTTGTCTCTTTGTTGCATAAGATGCAAGTGCCAAATAATTGCTTTACTTTATCGTTGTGCGATAGCAATAGTTGCAAGAGCAATAGTTGGCGAGACGACCATGTGACGACACATTGATATAGATCAAGATGATGAAGATCATGGTGTCGTGCCGGTGACGATAGAGATCATGACAGTACTTTGGAGATGGAGATCAAAGGCGCAAGAAGATCATGGCCATATCATGTCACATATTTTGATTGTATATGATGTTTATCTGTTATACATCTTATTCTGTTTTGTTTGACGGTAGCATTTTAAGATGATCTCTCACTAATTATCAAGAAGTGTTCTCCCTGAGTATGCACCGTTGCGAAAGTTTTTCGTGCTGAGACACCACGTGATGATCGGGTGTGATAGGCTCTACGTTCAAATACAACGGGTGCAAAACAGTTGCACACGCGGAATACTCAGGTTAAACTTGGCGAGCCTAGCATATACAGATATGGCCTCGGAACACGGAGACCGAAAGGTTGAGTGTGAATCATATAGTAGATATGATCAACATAGTGATGTTCACCATTGAAACTACTCCATCTCACGTGATGATCGGACATGGTTTAGTTGATTTGGATCACGTGATCACTTAGATGACTAGAGAGATGTCTGTCTAAGTGGGAGTTCTTAAGTAATATGATTAACTGAACTTAAATTTATCATGAACTTAGTCCTGGTAGTATTTTGCAAATTATGTTGTAGATCAATAGCTTGCGTTGTTACTTTCATATGTTTATTTTGATATGTTCCTAGAGAAAATTGTGTTGAAAGATGTTAGTAGCAATGATGCGGATTGGATCCGTGATCTGAGGTTTATCCTCATTGCTGCATAGAAGAATTATGTCCTTAATGCACTGCTAGGTGACACACCTATTGCAGGAGCAGATGCAGACGTTATGAACGTTTGGCTAGCTCAATATGATGACTACTTGATAGTTTAGTGCACCATGCTTAATGGTTTAGAATCGGGACTTCAATGACGTTTTGAACGTCATGGACCATATGAGATGTTCCAGGAGTTGAAGTTAATATTTCAAGCAAATACCCGAGTTGAGAGATATGAAGTCTCCAACAAGTTCTATAGCTAAAAGATGGAGGAGAATCGCTCAACTAGTGAGCATGTGCTCAGATTGTCTGGGTACTTCAATCGCTTGAATCAAGTGGGAGTTAATCTTCCAGATAAGATAGTGATTGACAGAATTCTCTAGTCACCATCACTAAGTTACTAGAACTTCGTGATGAACTATAGTATGCAAGGGCTGACGAAAACGATTCCCGAGCTCTTCGTGATATTGAAATCGATGAAGGTAGAAATCAAGAAAGAGCATCAAGTGTTGATGATTGACAAGACCACTAGTTTCAAGAAAAGGGCAAAGGGAAAGAAAGGGAACTTCAAGTGGAAAGACAAGCAAGTTGTCACTCCTGTGAAGAAGCCCAAAGCTGGACCATAGCCTAAAACTGAGTGCTTACACTGCAAAGGAAATGGTCACTGGAAGCGGAAATGCCCTGAACATTTGGTGGATAAGAAGGATGGCAAAGTGAACAAAGGTATATTTGATATACAGGTTCTTGATATGTGCCTTACTAGTGTTTATAGTAGCCCCTGAGTATTTGATACTTGTTCGGTTGCTAAGATTAGTAAATCGAAACAGGAGTTACAGAATAAACAGAGACTAGTTGAAGGGGAAGTGACGATGAGTGTTGGAAGTAGTTCCAAGATTGATATGATCATCATCACACACTCCCTAAACTTTCGGGATAAGTGTTAAACCTAAATAAATGTTATTTAGCGTTTGCGTTGAGCATGAATATGATTTGATCATGTTTATTGCAATACGGTTATTCATTTAAAGTCAGAGAATAATTGTTGTCCTGTTTACATGAATAAAACCTTCAATGGTCATACACCCAATGAAAATAGTTTATTGGATCTCGATCGTAGT